AAGGCAAAGTGACTGCCCAAGGTCATACAGCAGGATAGTGGCAAAGCCACGGAGAGATCTGTCTATTGTTCCCAAGCCCAGTGTCAGATCCATCGGTGCTCACTGCCCACCACCCCCTCCCCCCAGCAACCACATAGCCTCATATCAATTGAAGAAACATTCCTACAATTGCTCCACAGAGTCGATGAAGATGTCCCAGTGTTCACTCATGAGAATGGGAAACTGCTGCTGCGCTGAGCTGCAGGGACGGGGCAGAATTAGCCTGCGCAGCCTGGAAAGGATAGTGGTAAATTTTTCTCAGTGTCCACTGATGGTAGGACAAGAAGTAATCAGCTTAGTTTGCAGCAAAGCAGATTTAGGCTGGATATTAAGAAAAGCTTTCTAATTATAAGGATAGGTAAGCAATGGAACAGTTACATAGGGAGGTTGTGGAATCCCCATCATTGGAGGTTTTCCAAGTTAGACAAACATCTGTCAAGGATGGCCTAGGTATACTTAATCGTGCCTCACTGTGAAGGGATGGATTAGATGACCTTTGAAGTCCTTTCCAGTCATACATTTCTATGATTCTATGCAAAGGACATGGAGGTTGTCCGTTTTGACTAGAGATTAGTTAACGATACAATAAAAAAAAAAGTCTGCAAGTATTCCTTGAGTTTTTATATGAATGCCCTTTTGTGTTCAGTCTCCATCAGACTTTGGTAGGTGGCGTTGTATTGATGTCTCTAGGGGTATGTCTGCACTCGCGCTGGAAGGTGTCAATTCCAATTTGAGGAGACACATCTGTGCTAGCTTTGAGCAAGCAAGAATGCTAAAAATAGAAGTGCCACTGTGGTGGCACAAGCAGTGGGAGGGTTTAGCTGCCTCAAGTGTATGCCTAGTGTCTGGAATGGCATTGTCCTTGGAGAGTTTGCCCTCTCCTGCCACTCATGTTGACACGGCTACACATCTATTTTTAGTGTGTTAGCTTGATCAGAGCTAAAGCAGGTATGTCTCCTCGAGCTCAGATTTACCCCTTCCAGCTCTAGTGTAGACATACCCTAGAAAACAGCTGGCAAAGTCATTACGGCAAGTTTTTATGTTAAGCCATTCTACAGTTCCTGCTGTGGACTATCTGAGCTGGAACTCTTGCTCACTGGTCCATCCAGCTAACGGTAACAATGCCATGTAACTTAAAGCAGTCACCCAGACAAAACTTTCAATTACCATGTAGCTATACTGTGTGATTTCAGTGTCAGCAGTGCTCCCTGCGCATTCACTGTATTGAGTGCTGAGGGATCTGAGTGAGCACTGGGGTAATCTTGTTTAGTTATCAAATGCAAAATTAGAAAGAACTTCAGGGTGACCGCTATACCTGACCAGTCACAGAACGCTATTAAGAACTTCTCAGGCACCTCTAGTGGGCTACCTAGACCTTGGGTACAGGTGTGTAAGAGTAAGGAGGGCTACTTGCTCACTGACTCCATCCCCTGAGTAGGATGAGGAATAGGTGGGGAGAGGGAAGACTTTGTTCAAAATCCCCTCCACCTCCCCTGACTGGCCAGAATAATAGTAATTCACTGCTGTTGGTACAGGGCAGCAATCAGTTACTACTACCTGGAGGTAAAGAAGCAGATGAAGAATTGTGACTGAGCATTGTGTTTCTAAGGGTATGTCTACACTACGGAATAAGGTCGAATTTATAGAAGTCGGTTTTTTAGAAATCAGTTTTATATATTCGAGTGTGTGTGTCCCCACAGAAAATGCTCTAAGTGCATTAAGTGCATTAACTCGGCGGAGCGCTTCCACAGTACCGAGGCTAGAGTCGACTTCCGGAGCGTTGCACTGTGGGTAGCTATCCCACAGTTCCCGCAGTCTCCGCTGCCCATTGGAATTCTGGGTTGAGATCCCAATGCCTGATGGGGCTAAAACATTGTCGCGGGTGGTTCTGGGTACATATCGTCAGGCCCCCGTTCCCTCCCTCCCTCCGTGAAAGCAAGGGCAGACAATCATTTCGCGCCTTTTTTCCTGAGTTACCTGTGCAGACGCCATACCACTGCAAGCATGGAGCCCGCTCAGGTAACCGTCACCCTATGTCTCCTGGGTGCTGGCAGACGCGGTACGGCATTGCTACACAGTAGCAGCAACCCATTGCCTTCTGGCAGCAGACGGTACAGTACGACTGGTAGCCGTCATCGTCATGTCCGAGGTGCTCCTGGCCACATCGGCTGGGAGCGCCTGGGCAGACATGGGTGCAGGGACTAAATTTGGAGTGACTTGACCAGGTCATTCTCTTTAGTCCTGCCTGCAGTCAGTCCTATTGAACCGTCTTATGGTGAGCAGGCAGGCGATACGGACTGCTAGCAGTCGTACTGTACCATCTTCTGCCGAGGAGCCATGAGATGTGGATGGCATGCAGTCCTTCTGCACCGTCTGCTGCCAGCCAAAGATGTAAATGATAGATGGAGTGGATCAAAACAAGAAATAGACCAGATTTGTTTTGTACTCATTTGCTTCCCCCCCTCCCCTGTCTAGGGGACTCATTCTTCTAGATCACACTGCAGTCACTCACAGAGAAGGTGCAGCGAGGTAAATCTAGCCATGTATCAATCAGAGGCCAGGCTAACCTTCTTGTTCCAATAAGGACAATAACTTAGGTGCACCATTTCTTATTGGAACCCTCCGTGAAGTCCTGCCTGAAATACTCCTTGATGTAAAGCCACCCCCTTTGTTGATTTTAGCTCCCTGAAGCCAACCCTGTAAGCGCCCCTGCCGGCGTCAGAGCAACGGCAAACAATCGGGCATCTGAGAGTGCTGTCCAGAGCAGTCACAATGGAGCACTCTGATGGGGCTAAAACATTGTCGCGGGTGGTTCTGGGTACGTATCATCAGGCCCCCGTTCCCTCCCTCCCTCCGTGAAAGCAAGGGCAGACAATCATTTCGCGCCTTTTTTCCTGAGTTACCTGTGCAGACGCCGTACCACGGCAAGCATGGAGCCCGCTCAGGTAACCGTCACCCTATGTCTCCTGGGTGCTGGCAGACGCGGTACGGCTTTGCTGCACAGTAGCAGCAACCCATTGCCTTCTGGCAGCAGACGGTGCAATACGACTGGTAGTCGTCCTCGTCGTGTCCGAGGTGCTCCTGGCCACGTCGGCTGGGAGCCCCTGGGCAGACATGGGCGCAGGGACTAAATTTGGAGTGACTTGACCAGGTCATTCTCTTTAGTCCTGCAGTCAGTCCTATTGAACCGTCTTATGGTGAGCGGGCAGGCGATACGGACTGCTAGCAGTCGTACTGTACCATCTTCTGCCAGGCAGGCAAGAGATGAGGATTGCTAGCAGTCGTATTGTACCATCTTCTGCCAGGCAGGCAAGAGATGAGGATGGCTAGCAGTCGTACTGTACCATCTTCTGCCGAGCAGCCATGAGATGTGGATGGCATGCAGTCCTTCTGCACCGTCTGCTGCCAGCCAAAGATGTAAAAGATAGATGGAGTGGGTCAGAACAAGAAATAGACCAGATTTGTTTTGTACTCATTTGCCTCCTCCCCTGTCTAGGGGACTCATTCCTCTAGATCACACTGCAGTCACTCACAGAGAAGGTGCAGCGAGGTAAATCTAGCCATGTATCAATCAGAGGCCAGGCTAACCTCCTTGTTCCAATAAGAACGATAACTTAGGTGCACCATTTCTTATTGGAACCCTCCGTGCAGTCCTGCCTGAAATACTCCTTGATGTACAGGCACCCCCTTTGTTGATTTTAGCTCCCTGAAGCCAACCCTGTAAGCCGTGTCCTCAGTCGCCCCTCCCTCCGTCAGAGCAACGGCAGACAATCGTTCCGCGCCTTTTTTCTGTGCGGACGCCATACCAAGGCAAGCATGGAGGCCGCTCAGCTCACTTTGGCAATTAGGAGCACATTAAACACCACACGCATTATCCAGCAGTATATGCAGCACCAGAACCTGGCAAAGCGATACCGGGCGAGGAGGCGACGTCAGCGCGGTCACGTGAGTGATCAGGACATGGACACAGATTTCTCTGAAAGCATAGGCCCTGCCAATGCATGCATCATGGTGCTAATGGGGCAGGTTCATGCTGTGGAACGCCGATTCTGGGCTCGGGAAACAAGCACAGACTGGTGGGACCGCATAGTGTTGCAGGTCTGGGACGATTCCCAGTGGCTGCGAAACTTTCGCATGCGTAAGGGCACTTTCATGGAACTTTGTGACTTGCTTTCCCCTGCCCTGAAGCGCATGAATACCAAGATGAGAGCAGCCCTCACAGTTGAGAAGCGAGTGGCGATAGCCCTCTGGAAGCTTGCAACGCCAGACAGCTACCAGTCAGTTGGGAATCAATTTGGAGTGGGCAAATCTACTGTGGGGGCTGCTGTGATGCAAGTAGCCCACGCAATCAAAGATCTGCTGATATCAAGGGTAGTGACCCTGGGAAATGTGCAGGTCATAGTGGATGGCTTTGCTGCAATGGGATTCCCTAACTGTGGTGGGGCCATGGCTCATGAAGCCGTACACAGACAGCCTGGACAGTAGTCAGGAGCTGTTCAACTACAGGCTGAGCAAGTGCAGAATGGTGGTAGAATGTGCATTTGGACGTTTAAAGGCGCGCTGGCGCAGTTTACTGACTCGCTTAGACCTCAGCGAAACCAATATGCCCACTGTTATTACTGCTTGCTGTGTGCTCCACAATATCTGTGAGAGTAAGGGGGAGACGTTTATGGCGGGGTGGGAGGTTGAGGCAAATCGCCTGGCTGCTGGTTACGCGCAGCCAGACACCAGGGCGGTTAGAAGAGCACAGGCGGGCGCGGTACGCATCAGAGAAGCTTTGAAAACCAGTTTCATGACTGGCCAGGCTACGGTGTGAAAGTTCTGTTTGTTTCTCCTTGATGAAACCCCCCGCCCCTTGGTTCACTCTACTTCCCTGTAAGCTAACCACCCTCCCCTCCTCCCTTCAATCACCGCTTGCAGAGGCAATAAAGTCATTGTTGCTTCACATTCATGCATTCTTTATTCATTCATCACGCAAATAGGGGGATGACTACCAAGGTAGCCCAGGAGGGGTGGTGGAGGAGGGAAGGAAAATGCCACACAGCACTTTAAGCACAGCACTTTAAAAGTTTACAACTTTAAAATTTATTGAATGACAGCCTTCTTTTTTTTGGGCAATCCTCTGTGGTGGAGTGGCTGGTTGGACGGAGGCCCCCCCACCGCGTTCTTGGGCGTCTGGGTGTGGAGGCTATGGAACTTGGGGAGGAGGGCGGTTGGTTACAGAGGGGCAGCAGTGGCAGTCTGTGCTCCAGCTGCCTTTGCTGCAGCTCAACCATACACTGGAGCATACTGGTTTGGTCCTGCAGCAGCCTCAGCATTGAATCCTGCCTCCTCTCATCACGCTGCCGCCACATTTGAGCTTCAGCCCTGTCTTCAGCCCGCCACTTACTCTCTTCAGCCCGCCACTTACTCTCTTCAGCCCGCCACCTCTGGTCCTGGTCATTTTGTGCTTTCCTGCACTCTGACATTATTTGCCTCCACGCATTCGTCTGTGCTCTGTCAGTGTGGGAGGACAGCATGAGCTCGGAGAACATTTCATCGCGAGTGCGTTTTTTTTTCTTTCTAAGCTTCACTAGCCTCTGGGAAGGAGAAGATCCTGTGATCATTGAAACACATGCAGCTGGTGGAGAAAAAAAAAGGGACAGCGGTATTTAAAAAGACACATTTTATAAAACAGTGGCTACAGTCTTTCAGGGTAAACCTTGCTGTTAACATTACATACATAGCACATGTGCTTTCGTTACAAGGTCGCATTTTGCCTCCTCCCACCGCGTGACTACCCCCTCAACCTTCCCCCCTCCCTGTGGCTAACAGCGGGGAACATTTCTGTTTAGCCACAGGCAAACAGCCCAGCAGGAATGGGCTCCTCTGAGTGTCCCCTGAAGAAAAGCACTCTATTTCAACCAGGTGACCATGAATTATATCTCACTCTCCTGAGGATAACACAGAGAGATAAAGAACGGATGTTGTTTGAATGCCAGCAAACATACACTGCAATGCTTTGCTCTACAATGATTCCCGAGTACGTGTTACTGGCCTGGAGTGGTAAAGTGTCCTACCATGAAGGACGCAATAAGGCTGCCCTCCCCAGAAACCTTTTGCAAAGGCTTTAGGATTACATCTAGGAGAACCGCAAATGCCAGGGCAAAGTAATCCTTTCACATGCTTGCTTTTAAACCATGTATAGTATTTTAAAAGGTACACTCACCAGAAGTCCCTTCTCCGCCTGCTGGGTCCAGGAGGCAGCCTTGGGTGGGTTCGGGGGGTACTGGCTCCAGGTCTAGGGTGAGAAACAGTTCCTGGCTGTCGGGAAAACCGGTTTCTCCGCTTGCTTGCTGTGAGCTATCTACAACCTCCTCCTCCTCATCATCTTCTTCGTCCCCAAAACCTGCTTCCGTATTGCCTCCATCTCCATTGAAGGAGTCAAACAACACGGCTGGGGTAGTGGTGGCTGAACCCCCTAAAATGGCATGCAGCTCATCATAGAAGCGGCATGTTTGGGGCTCTGACCCAGAGCGGCTGTTTGCCTCTCTGGTTTTCTGGTAGGCTTGCCTCAGCTCCTTCAGTTTCACGCGGCACTGCTTCGGGTCCCTGTTATGGCCTCTGTCCTTCATGCCCTGGGAGATTTTCACAAAGGTTTTGGCATTTCGAAAACTGGAATGGAGTTCTGATAGCACGGATTCCTCTCCCCAAACAGCGATCAGATCCCGTACCTCCCGTTCGGTCCATGCTGGAGCTCTTTTGCGATTCTGGGACTCCATCATGGTCACCTCTGCTGATGAGCTCTGCATGGTCACCTGCAGCTTGCCACGCTGGCCAAACAGGAAATGAGATTCAAAAGTTCGCGGTTCTTTTCCTGTCTACCTGGCCAGTGCATCTGAGTTGAGAGTGCTGTCCAAAGCGGTCATAATGGAGCACTCTGGGATAGCTCCCGGAGGCCAATACCATCGAATTGTGTCCACAGTACCCCAAATTCAAGCCGGCAACGTCGATTTAAGCGCTAATCCACTTGTCAGGGGTGGAGTAAGGAAATCGATTTTAAGAGCCCTTTAAGTCGAAATAAAGGGCTTCATTGTGTGGACGGGTGCAGGTTTACATCGATTTAACGCTGCTAAATTCGACCTAAAGTCCTAGTGTAGACCAGGGCAAAGTCCCAATGCCTCCCAGTGCTAGTCTTGGGGAGGCATAGCTTATGTACATCCCTTGCTCTGGGCTATGCCTACAGGCATAATCAAGGCCTGTGCATATTTGTGATGAATCCAGGATGTGACTAATACAAAAAGAATAAATCTGAAATCAGATTGACCCAAGGGAATCGTGCTCTTGGATATTATACAAGCAGAAAAATAGGCACACTTCAAAGAATGAAGAGCTCAATTTTTTAGTATACTGCCTATATGGATATCGATGCAAACTTCAAAAAATAAAGGCCTCTAAATTTTACACTCTCATTGTCATTATGTTCGCAGTAAATAAGGGGGCACTCATCATAATTAAGATTGAATTCTGTTTCGCATTTAAAACAAGGATCCCATCCCTCTGTTTTGTATGAAAAATACAGTGTATCCTCCCCAAACTTACAGCACTTACTCCCAGAGTACAGAATGAATTTTCTGAAAAGTTACAAGTAAATCTGTTAACTAATATATAACTTAAAATTATTAAATATTGGGCCCTTTAAGAAATCTAGCATTTGTGACAGTCTTTTCTTTGTCCTGAATGATCTTAACAGTGGAATAATGCAGACCCTTCAAATTTTCCTTACAGTTAAAAATAATAGAAATGTTGTGTATAGGCTATATTTGAAACAAATTAAGTTGTAATTAAGCTAAGTTATTAATGATTGTTGTATCTAATTGTTATCATTATACAGGCTACAGACAGGGTCAAACCAACAGCTCAGGTAATTCAATCAATCACCAACCTTTATCTATAGTTAATTTGCATGCTACAGTTGTATTGGTTGTGATGAATCAGGGGTGTGAAAGAGACTGGATACGTATGTCAAAAGTTCTCATTAGTAAATTATTTAGTCTGTCAATGCTGTTCAAAGCTTTTGAGGCTGCATGTTTTCATACTCTCCACGTTACTGCCATCTTAATGCAGTGTTTTTATCTGGGACTATATTAATAGGCTATTCTTGGTGCTCATGACTATAGTAACTGAGCACTTCAAAAACATCAATTTTACCTCCCAACACACCTATGAGGTACAAGAGTTTTAGTATAATGCAAACAGATGAGGCAGCTGTGGTACAGTGAGGTATGTCCAAGGCTGCATGGGAAGACTGGCAAACTTGGAATTGAGCCCCACTTCCCAGTTCCATGCTGTTACCACTAGGTATTTGGACGTTCAATGAAAGCTATACTGTCTTTGAAATTTGGGTTCGGTGTGGCTTCTGAATCATACAGGTTTAATGTCCCAGCAGTGATAATATTTTACTCTTATGGTATTTGCAGAAAGATGTTTCCACACTGCAGCTGCCTTCTGTGATGGTTTGTGTGTCAATGTCCAGTCAGGGGACTACAGACTCCAGAAGATTTAGCTGTTATGAGGCTAAACTAAGCAGAAGGAAAAGGATTTGTAGACAATGGGCTGAACTTTAAGGTACCAATGATGAAAAGTTAGGAATTCCCGGTTATAAACTGACTATATTTGAGGGGAAAGTATTAGGGGATAGCCGTGTTAGTCTGTATCCACAGAAACGAGGAGCCTGGTGGCACCTTAAAGACTAACAGATTTATTTGGGCCATAAGCTTTTGTGGGTAAAAAACCACTTCTTCAGATACATGGAGTGAAAATTACAGATGCAGGCATTATATACTGACACATGAAGAGATGGACGTTACTTCACAAGTGGAGAACCAGTGCTGACAAGGCCAATTCAATCAGGGTGGATGTAGTCCACTCCCAATAATGGATGAGGAGGTATCAATTCCAGGAGAGGCAAAGCTGCTTCTGTAATGAGCCAGCCACTCCCAGTCCCTATTCAAGCCCAAATTAATGGTGTTAAATTTGCAAATGAATTTTAGTTCTGCAGTTTCTCTTTGAAGTCTGTTTGAGGGAGTCTCTTCTTGGCTGCCTGGCTAGGTATCCCAACTCCCAGTAATGACAGATGGAGGGTAAATTACCCTTGATCTGGGAATTACTGAGGGCAAAATTGGGCAAACCAAGCAGGCTAATGGGCAGACCAAAAGTAAGAATAAGGGTATGTCTGCACTGCAGCTGGGAGTGTGCCTCCCAGCCTGGGTAACAGACACACGCTAGCTCTGCTTGAGTTAGTGTGCTAAAAACAGCAGTGTGGACATCGCAGCACAGGCTAGCGGCCCAAGGTAGAAGCCCTGGAAAGCCCCTTGGGTCCATACTGGAGTGGCTGGCTTGTGGACTTCCCAGGCCACATTGTCCACACTGCTATCTTTAGCATACTAGCTTGAGCAGAGTTAGTGCGTGTCTGTCTACCTGGGATGGGAGGCATGCTCCCAGCTGCAGTGTAGACATATCCTCAGTCTCCTGTGGGCATTGAGTTGCCTGGCTTTATGCTTCACCAACCAGCTAATGCAGACAGGACAACATACCTCTTGCCTGGTAGTGATGTAAGGAGGTGGAGGTACCCATCCACTGGACTGCATCTCTTCGCCAAGCACCATTTCACTGGAGGAAAATAGAGGTGGAAGCAGGCCGGAACCATTTCTTCTCCCAGATGCTGATGCTCCAAATTAGAGATCCCATGCTGTAAAGCTTCTTCTGCCAGGTGCTTGTGTGCCATGGCTAAGGCACTGGTGAACCATCTCTTCAGACAACAGTGTCATCTCCTTGCTGGATCCCCAGCCCTCCATGTTCCTTGGGTCAAGTGCTTGTGAACACTTTGACATTAACACCCTGCCCTGAGGTCAGATAAATGAGCCCTGTAACCTCCACTGCAGTGATAGTCCAACTTTTTTCATCCTGAGGGCCAAACCTATTATTTCTAAAAGGTCATGAAGCCACAACCAATATTTTGGGGAAGTTTCTTTGCCCTATTGTACTTCATCTGCACCCTCGAGCAGTGGAAAAAGAGCAGAAACCATCATAAGCCCTTTGATTTGGGGGAGCAGGCATACAGCTGGCAGAGCTGGCTCCTAGGCCTCTCTCCCTGCAGCTCCTGGTACAGGGGACATGTAGGGGGAGTGGCAGCAATGGGTTTTGCTCCAGCTGACCTATGACCCCTTGGTTAGGTGACCATATTTTTAAAATGAAAAACCAGCCACTTCTGTGCTGACATTTCTTAGCAGTCAGACGAAAGACAGGAGTGCACTTTTAAAAATACGGGCTGGTGTCACTACTGCCAATTTCAGACTAAACAGCCGCACAAACATATTTCTCAAAGTGGAGGATTCTTCCAGTAACAGAGTGTTCTGAACTAATTTGTCATGAAACACTGAACAAATGTCATTAGCAGTCACTTGGAGCAAAAGAACAGCTTTGATGTTCAGTCAACTTTTCTGTTTACCCCAAACCCTGTCCACCCGTCCACTTAGATTGTGTCTACACTTGCGGCGGTGCATAGGGAACCTGCAGTTACATGCCACGGCGAAAGGCAGGCTGTGTCCACACATACAGCAGTGAAAGGCTCATGCAGTGGGGAGGCAGCAGGGGAAAATCCATCAACAGGAGGACACTGTGCCTCTAAAAATAGCAGTGTAGCCTTGGGAGGCACTACATGGGTGTGTAGAGTAGGGTATATGCCCTAGGGTTCATATGCCCTATGCACGTAGGGAACTCTGCTCTGCCATCTACACTGCTATTTATACCTAGCTGAGCCCGCAGTGTCTGTACTCTAAATGTATGTCTACATTTGCAGTGGTGTGTAGACTCTGTTCCTGGCAAACAGAGAAAATTTTATTTGGCACAGCAATACAACTTGAATCATAGAATATCAGGGTTGGAAGGGACCTCAGGAGGTCATTTAGTCCAACCCCCTGCTCCAAGCAGGACCAATCCCCAATTAAATCATCCCAGCCAGGGCTTTGTCAAGCCTGACCTTAAAAACTTCTAAGGAAGGAGATTCTACCACCTCCCTAGGTAACGCATTCCAGTGTTTTACCACCCTCCTCGTGAAAAAGTTTTTCCTAATATCCAACCTAAACCTCCCCCACTGCAACTTGAGACCATTACTCCTTGTCCTGTCCTCTTCTACCACTGAGAATAGTCTAGAACCATCCTCTCTGGAACCACCTCTCAGGTAGTTGAAAGCAGCTATCAAATCCCCTCTCATTCTTCTCTTCTGCAGACTAAACAACCCCAATTCCCTCAGCCTCTCCTCATAAGTCATGTGTTCCAGACCCCTAATCATTTTTGTTGCCCTTCGCTGGACTCTCTCCAATTTATCCACATCCTTCTTGTAGTGTGGGGCCCAAAACTGGACACAGTACTCCAGATGAGGCCTCACCAATGTCGAATAGAGGGGGACGATCACGTCCCTCAATCTGCTCGCTATGCCCCTACTTATACATCCCAAAATGCCATTGGCCTTCTTGGCAACAAGGGCACACTGGCTGACTCATATCCAGCTTCTCGTCCACTGTCACCCCTAGGTCCTTTTCCGCAGAACTGCTGCCTAGCCATTCGGTCCCTAGTCTGTAGCTGTGCATTGGGTTCTTCCGTCCTAAGTGCAAGACCCTGCACTTATCCTTATTGAACCTCATCAGATTTCTTTTGGCCCAATCCTCCAATTTGTCTAGGTCCCTCTGTATCCTATCCCTGCCCTCCAGCGTATCTACCACTCCTCCCAGTTTAGTATCATCCGCAAATTTGCTGAGAGTGCAATCCACACCATCCTCCAGATTATTTATGAAGATATTGAACAAAACCGGCCCCAGGACCGACCCCTGGGGCACTCCACTTGACACCGGCTGCCAACTAGACATGGAGCCATTGATCACTACCCGTTGAACAAGCATTTATAGCTGTAAACAATATTTTGATTGATGATAAAAAAAGAAGACATTTTAGGTGTCCCAAAAGAAGTTCCTGGGCCACCAAGACACCATATGAAAAAACAGAGACTGTTCTGGTAGAAATGGGACATGTGGTCACTTTGTCCCTGGAGAAACCGCCCGCTGGTGCAAGTTAGAACAGCCCTCAGGCTGCTCAACCTGTGCCAGGGGCAGGGTAGGGCCGAGAACTGGCAGCTGTCACTGGCTGTAAGTCCTTAGCTTCTCTTCTTTTCGCCCTCTGCTGGGCTGCCTTGAGTGGCTGTGTCTTTAGGTGATGGCAAAGCAAGCTGAGCTCTTACTCTGTTCTCCCTGGAGCTCCCATAGCATGGAAGGGAAGCAGGCAATGGAGCAGCCAATTACTCTTTGTTCCCTTCTCTGTCATGCAGCAGGCAGTCATCAGGGAGCTGCTGAACAGCTGAAGCCGGGAAGGGACAGCAGCTGCTCAGCGTGCTCCCAGCTCACGTCAGACCTGCTCCTGGGCTGGAGGGCCACTGGTGCCTCCTTCCGTCTTCTCAGGGTTGATTCAAACACTTGGTTTAAAAATCACAGGGTGACACATTGGGAATTGAAAATGTGTTCCCTATCAAACACAAATGTCCATAATGATTGGCCTTGAGGGCCACAGTTTAAGCCTCAATGGCCACATTGTCCAGAGGCTGGAGAAACTGCTCTAGCATCTTTCTCTACTCACAGATAGGGGAATGTTTCTTAACAACTCCAGAGGCTAGAGCTGTAAGTTCCAAAAGCCTGCACCAGGGGGTGCCACCTCCAGATCATCCCAAGGGAACATCCCAAGGGCTCTTCAGTGAGTCACAGATGAGAGAGATCTCCACATTGGCCAGGTCCTGTCAGAAACCAGGACGAACGTTAGAGGTAAGCTCTCCAAACCCTGCCAGGAAATAGTCAGCACAGACTGGCTACGCAGATAGAAGTCCTGAGGACAGAGCAACCACCCTAAGGTATCACAGTTAAGAAAAATCGCCCTAGAAAAAGCAATATCTCCAAGCTTCCACAGGCAGGAAGGCTAGCACATAGCTGCCACAAACCCCCAGAGCCATCACTCCTCAGAGGAAAACAACCACTGCTTTGAAGGGAAGCCACTACTTAGAGCAGAAGCTCAACACCAATCGATAAATAATTGCACTGGAATGACTGAGGAGGGAGACACCAATAAAGGATACTGCATATCTGTCAGAAGTAAAGAGAACATCCCAAGTTGACTAATAGTAGGTACACCGAAGCTAGCTCATGTATGTTTACATCTGCTGCCATCACACCTCCTGATTGCAGCACAGGCCTGCCATAACACTGGTGCATAGCTTCTGTGGGGAGCTGACCGCAGACCGAAAGGGACTGACTGAGAAGATGCTACGCACTGGGAGGGAGCTGAGTCAGCTGTAGTTGGACTGGAACATGCTGAGGGTGATGGGGATGCACGGGGCTAGGCCAAAATGCCAGTACCTCTGTGAGCTGAAAACCCAGAGAGCTTGGATAGTTCCCACCTGTCTGATGCTAGGGGGAATCCTATGGGTGGTGTCTTCAATGACCAATTAATGAATCAAAAATACCATGACTGAGAAAATTTTGTTGAAACTGACGTTACACTGAGCTAATAGGACTCAGTAGCAGGCCAAGTTCAGCCGTACATTTGAGATCAGTGTCCTTTTACCTTCCCAGTGTAACTTGCTTGTTAAAATACTGTAAATATGTGACTGGTCTGAAGGAGGAACCTGAAGGGCAGAGTAATTATCCCTTTTGTGATGAAAGGAAATGTGAGCTAAATCTGTCATTGGAGAAAGGTTCATTTGATATCCTTGTGACTTAAGATGATTGCTTCCATTTTATTCACAGAATATACTTTATGCTGCTCTAATCAGTGAATAATAGAGACTCTAGGACTAATTTTCTCTCACTTCTACTTTATTGCTGTGTAACTCCATTGACTTCAAAGAAATTATTCCTGCTTTGTGTTTTATTAGTAAATAAGATCTGTCTATCTAGGTATTTACATAGAGATACTTTCTGTATGACCTTGGGCATGTCATTTAGGCCCAGATACTCAAAGGTATTTTGGCTCCTAACTTCCACTTATTTCAATGGGAGTTAGGTGTCTAAGTACCTTTGAGGATATGGGCCCTTAACCCTTTTCTCTGCATTTCACTTCTGATTAGCTTGGGCAGCTCTCCACTCAGCATGCATGGAGAATCCCTTACTTAGACGCCTAACTCTCCCAGTACAGCGCATGGAGAACCTGGGTACCTCGCTTCAGGCTGTGACTTCCAGTAGGCAGCAGGGCACCTAGGAATTGTGTCTCTGTGACTTTAACCCTCTGTGTCCTTCCCTACCTCTCAGAGGTGTTGTGAGAAAAAATAAACTGAAGATTGTGAGGTGCTCAGATATCATGATGATGGGGGACATATTAATATGTTAGCATATTCGATAGACAGACAACCCCATTGTGATTTGCTGAATATGATTATCCTATTTGTATGCATGTATCATTTTTGGATCTGAAGTTATGAATATTGACTCTGGATCTGTATTTCAAATGGGTTTACTCTGGAAAACACCCACAGCCAGCCTTTCAGGTACAACTGTGGTGAAGCTAGATAGTACTAATGACCCATCAGCAAAGACAATGGAATATGGAAAAGCTTAGCCCTCCTGTAAACATTTCAGCAAGCCTGTAAGTAATGGCTGCTATGACTCAGCAAAAGCATGAGATCAAACCGAATGACAATGAACTCCATTTTGGGTATTTGTATTTTTCCACAAACTGGGCTGGGAACTGTTTTTTCCTGCCATATGTTAAAGCTATATAAGGTGGGGTGTGACATCATCTAGGGGCCTCAATCCCCACACCGGGATGATAACTTGTTGGAGAAAGCTGTTAGTCTTTAAGGTGCCACAAGTACTCCTTTTCTTTTTGTGAATACAGACTAACACAGCTGCTACTCTGAAACCTGGAGAAAGCTGCTGTATCTAGTGGCTCCAAACCCAACATAATCATATTCTCGTCTCCAGCCACCTGAGTTCTACATGCAGAAGATGACCCACAAGTGACTGCTTCTTCAGCAGTAAGTTCCCTTCTAAGAATCATAGAATATCACGGTTGGAAGGGACCTCAGGAGGTCAGTCTAGTCCAACCTCCTGCTCAAAACAGGACCAATCCCCAATTTTTGCCCCAAATGACCCCCTCAAGGATTGAACTCACAACCCTGGGTTTAAGCAGGCCAATGCTCAAACCACTGAGCTATCCCTCACAGGTACCTGTGAAAGCAGGAACTGGAAGCAAGGAGGAGGCCACTCATCACTTTCTACAGGCAACTCAGCCACAAGCAGTGATGATGACATCGCCAGGATATTGGCCTCACAGCTACAGCACCCTGCTGGGTGACGATTGTGAAAATACAGCTTCCACAGTGGATCCCATTAACTTGTCCTAAAGCATTTCAAACTTTCTCTCAGCACTGCTAGGTGTGGGGCTTTTTGGACTGTTAACTCCCATCACTTCATAGCTGGGAACAAGCAATGCAGCTTTGCCCAGAACTATAATTTTTCAAGAGCAAAAGGTACAAAATATTTTTTCATTGGTAGTAATTTTTATAAAGCATGAAACGTGAACTACACAAATATTTTCCAGTAAAGTCATCACTTTATTTCCCCCCAGATAAACACAGGCATCCATCCACAACAGCCCAATAAATCTTAACTGGAGAACAAAGTCATGTTGTAAGATGATGAAGTACTTAGACAAGTTCTCATTCAACAGGTGAAAGGATCTGATTGGGAAACGATGGTAAAAGAACAATGTTGTTAATAATCTGGCCAGCCCAAAATAGTACCAAGATTTTAGCTCCAGTTGTTTTAAGAGAAGTTTACAGGATGACAAAAGGATGGGACTGTAGATGGTCATTTCAGGGGGGAAATAAATAAATAAATAAATCACAGTTCTAAAGTAGTACAAAAGGGTTCATATCACAATACCCCCCAAAACTGCCTTGGCTGAGCACATTCTAGGAATCTCTTTATCCTGATGAGAAAATTATGTAAATGCATAGGGCATGATTCTTCTTTTACTTCTACTGCTGTAAATATGGAGTAATTCCATGAACTTCAATGGAGGCACTCCACATTTACAGTGCTGGGAGAACAGAATTTGACCTCCAAGGGTTAAAATCCCTTGTCGGAATTAAAGGTGTCCATTAGCTCAATTCTAGTTACATCAGCTTTTATTTACCTTTTATCTCTGGATTCTTTAACTGTTACTGAATTCTTGCTTTCACCAAACCAGGAGCAAAGCAAAAGAAATGGAATAAACCAGAAACAGTGAAACATGAGAATACTGGTTGCAGTCAAAGTAGGGAAGATCTTTTTACTGAAATGGAAATTCCCCATCTCCAAATTATTTTCCAATAACCTTATTTGCGAGAGGTTATTTCTACAAGGGTTGCTAGCTTGGAGAGAGGTAAAATAAAAACACCTAACTCAAGAGGGCTGGAAAAGGACAAACATGGTATCTATCTTTAAAAATGGGAACAAAAAAGACCTGGGGAATTATAGACTGGTCATCCTAACTTTGATACCTGAAAAGATAGCGGAACAAATTATTAAACTATCAGTTTAGGTAAGCACCTAGAGGATAATAGAGCCATGCTGGCTATTCCTTATAACCCTATCAAAAACAAATCATTCCAAACCAAATTTCCTTCTTTGTCAGTGGATAGTAGGGAACCAATAGATGTGATATATCTTGATTTTAGAAAGGCTTTTGAAACATGACATTCTCATAAGCAAACTAGGGAAATGTGGTCTAGATGAAATTACTGTAAGGTGGGTCCGCAACTGGTTGAAAAATCGTACTCAAAGAGTAGTTATCAGTGGTTTGCTGTCAAACTGGGAGGGTCTGTCCTGGGTCCAATACTATTTAATATTTTCATTAATGACTTGGATAATGGAGTGGACAATATTCTTATAAAATTTTCAGAAGACACGAACCTGGGCGGGGTTGCAAGCACTTTAGAGCAGTGGCTCAACCTTTCCAGACTACTGTACCCTTTTCAGGAGTCTGATTTGTCTGCATACCCACAAGTTTCACCTCACTTAAAAACTACTTGCATACAAAATCAGACATAAAAATTCAGAAGTGTCACAGCACACTAATACTGAAAAATGGCTTCCTTTCTCATTTTTACCATATAAAAATAAATCAATTGGAATATAATTGTACTTACTTTTCAGTGTATAGTATACAGAGCAGTACAAACAAGTCATTGTCTATGAAAATTTAGTTTGTACTGACTTCACTAGTACTTTTTATGTAGTCTGTTGTAAAACTAGGCAATTATCTAGATGAATTGATGTACCCCCTGGAAGACCTCTGTGTACCCCCTGGTTGAGAACTACTGCTGTAGAGGATAGGATTAGAATTCAAAACAACCATGACAAATTGGAAAATTGGCTTAAAATCAACAAGATGAAATTAAAAAAAAAAGATAAGTGCAAAATACTACACTTAAGAAGGAAAAAAATCAATTGCATAATTTCAAAATGGGGAACACCTAGCTAAGCTGTAGTATCACTGAAAAGGATTTGAGGGGTTATAGTGGATCACAAATTGAATAGAAGTCAACAATACGTTGTAGTTATGAAAAAGGCTAATATCACTCTGTATTAACCGAGAGTGTTATATGCAAGACATGGGAGGTAATTGTCCCACCCTTCTTGGCACTGGTGAGGCCTCACATGGTTTGGGTGCCACACTGTAGGAAAGATGTGGACAAACTGGAAAGAGTCCAGAGAACCACAAAAACGATAAAAGGTTTAGAAAACCTGACCTATGAGGAAAGGTTAAAAAAACAGGGCATGTTTAGTCTTGAGAAAAGAAGACTAAAGGGGGGACTTGTTAACAGTCTTCAAATATATTAAAGGCTGTTATAAAGAGGGTGAGTGTTCAGTCATTCTACATGCTCACTGAAGGAAGGACAAGAAGTAATGGGCTTAATCCACAAGGGAGATTTATGTTAGATATTAAAAACTTTGTAACTATAAGGGTAATTAAGCTCTGAAATGGGGATTCCATAACCTTCCATGGAAGCCTATCATTGGAAGTTTTTAAGAACTGGTTAGACAAACACCTGTCAGGGATGGTCTAGGTTTACTGGGCCCTACTTTAGCACAGGGGGTTGGACTTGATGACCTCTCGAGATCCCTTCGAGCCCTACATTTCTCTGATTCTATTTCCAAGAAACAAGGGGACAGGACAAAGACAAATGAAATCAAAGGCTTATTTGATGTACTGGGTACAAGCACTCAAATATTAGGGTGTTGAGCGTGGTATAAAGGCTTAGATAGATGGACTTATCTTACCTGTAACTAAAACAAATCAGTGATTCCGCTTTTAATTAAAAAGGTAGAGATGATTTAAAGTGCTGCTAGGGTGCAATTCGCCTTTCTCTCACAAAGCCTGAGTAACCGGGCTTTGTGCGGAGTACTCCAAAGGTGTAGTGGAGGGAATGGAAATCAAACCTTCAACCCATGGGCAGCCTGTGGGGATGCAATGTAGCCTCTCCACAGCTACAACTCCAGCCCACGAGCTGGAAGAGGGGTGCAGCCCCTGGGCTCTTTTCAGGTTGTAGTTCCTTACCAATGGCTCTGGATCTGATACATGCATACAACAGTGGATATTGATACAGCCTTTAATGGGGTTGCAATGTATACTCCCTTGCTCTAGCCAAGATCTGTTGGCTTGTGTGCATGTTTGTGTGCATTTTCCACAGAGGCTATAGCTGCTGTTGCTACTAGACTCTCCCAAATTTAGTATGGTCTGGAGTGCAAGGACTAAGGTGGGGCCTGGGCCCTGTGCAGTTGAGTGCTTTTTCAAATCCCAACCCTTGTGCCTTCTCCTCTGTTGTACTTCCGCATAGGGTTCGGCCCCATCTAGTCCTTTTCTCTGCAGGAAATAACTTATGTACATATGTAATAAAAATTCCAAAGCTGGTTTATAATATTGCTCCTCATTTGAGTGTTAGCAGATTTCAGGGCCTTACACGTCAGTCTCCTAGTGGAAGATAAATCATTGTTATGGAGTCTGGGTATATTCCTAGTGCATTTTGTTTTATTTACACACTTACAGCAATCCTAGATCAAAGGTCATCACAAGGGGCAAGCAGGCAAACCCTCTTTCAGAAATCTCAGCCCCAGCAGCAATGCCTGGTTATCAGAAAGCAACTGTGTACCAAAAATTGCTCTCTCTAGTGAGAGATTAAGGCAAAGATCGTATTCTCCTGGTGTTTGCCACAGCTTGCCCAAGAGCCTGCAGTGCAAAATTAACACTACAGCATTGTTTCAAAGGCTGAACAGAAAAGAACTTGTAAAACTATGACAGGTTTCAGAGGGGTAGCCGGGTTAGTCTCTACGGTGCCACAAGTACTCCTCATTCTTTTTGCTGATACAGACTAACAGATTTATTTGGGCATAAGCTTTCGTGAGCTACAGCTCTCTTCATCGGATGCATGCAGTGGAAAATACAGTAGGAAGACAGACAGACACACACCATGAAAAAAAAAAGGTGTTGCCATACCAACTCAATGAGACTAATTAATTAAGGTGGGCTATTATCAGCAGGAGAAAAAAAACTTTTTTGTAGTGATAATCAGGATGGCCCATTTCAAACAGTTGACAAGAAGGTGTGAGTAACAGTAGGGGAAAAATTAGCATGGAGAAATAGTTTTTACTTTGTGTAATGACCCATCCACTCCCACTCTTTATTCAAGCCTAATTTAATGGTGTCCAGTTTGCAAATTAATTCCAGTTCTGCAGTTTCTCGCTGGAGTCTGTTTTTGAAGTTTTTTTGTTGAAGAATTGCCACTTTTAGGTCTGTAATTGAGTGATCAGGGAGGTTGAAGTGTTCTCCGACTGTTTTTTGAATGTTATAATTCTTGACGTCTGATTTGTGTCCATTTATTCTTTTGCATTAAGACTTTTTCCCCCCCTACTGTTACTCACATCTTCTTGTCAGTTGTTTGAAATGGGCCATCCTGATTATCACTACAAAAGTTTTTTTCTCCTGCTGATAATAGCTCACCTTAATTGATTAGTCTTGTTAGAGATGGTATGGCAACACCCATTTTTTCATGTTCTCTCTCTCTATATATATTAGAGAGAGAATCTATCTATCTCTCTCTCTCTCCCTCCTGTATTTTCCACTGCATACATCTGATGAAGTGGGTTTTAGCCCACGAAAGCTTATGCCCAAATAAATTTGTTAGTCTAAGGTGCCACAGGTACTCCTCATTCTTTTTGCTGATATAGACTAACACGGCTACTACTCTGAAACCTGCAACAAAAGAGAATTTCTCAGACCATTTCTTAAAAAGTCTATATTGAGGGCTATTTTCTCAAGCCGTTGCCAACCTTACTGATGTGACCAGTCCCACTGAGTTGTGTGTGAGGAAAGTGAATTGGTCCTTTGTAACAATGATCTATATGGAGCAAATTGGACTGTAGCTTTACATACACTGGAACTCCTTTATAAAAAGTAGCCGAATATAAATGAAAAATCCACAGCGAGCTACTTTGCCCACCAAAGGTAAACATCTTAACATTGTGGGATTGCAGTTTAGGAAGCACTTTAAAAGGGGAGGTGCAAGCAGGTTTCAGAATGATTTGCTCAGATAGCACTTCACAGATGGTCACTCGAGTACTTCTTCAAAGGGGGCTTTTGGGTAGTGTTCCCAAGGGAGCTGCTCCACCTGAGAGAGACAGACACGAGAAGAGAAGGTTAAAGATTTTGAGAGGAAGGATTGCTTTAAATTAGTATATCATCAAATAGGAACATTTTGCATTATGGTGCCAGAATCCCATCAGAAGCTCTGTTATCCTGTTTTATAGAACAGAACTCTCATGAAATTATTCAGATTTTCCTGGTATTTATTCTATATGCATTTAATGGGGCATTCCAGATTAAATCAGCATCAGCGACCCAAAGCACAGAGAAGATTTTAAAGCAAGCATTATATTTTTGCTGTTTGCTTTCTGTTTGACAAAGAACTTTCAAAACAGAGATCCTCAGTTAGTGTAAATTGGCAACACAGCTCCATTGATTTCAGACAGTTTGTTTGCTAAAGTGATTGGTGATGAAATTGTTCACAATGGCAACATTTTAATTGTCATCATTAGGCTTCTGAATTAACACCGCCTGGAAATTAATGTGTACAATTCACATTTCAGAGCTACAGTTTCAGGCTGTTTGTGCATACAGCAAGTCCACATTCCAAGAGTTTCTTAACAGCCATAAAGGTTAGAAATTTAATATTTTTCAGTAAATGAAAGCTCACATTCTGCAGAAACAAACGGGAACACCAGCGTATGGCATACCACTGAGTACAGGCTCATTCAACCACGTACCAGCTCAGTCTAATCCGTAGCCAATCATAAAAATGGCATGGTCAAATTCATAGATTCAAAGAGTTTAAGGCCAGAAGGGACCATTAGATCATCTAGTCAGACCTCCCGTATTTCACCAGTTAGTCCTGTACTAAGCCCAAACACTTGTGTGTTCACTAAAGCATAACTTCCAGAAAGGCATCAGTCTTGATCAGAAGGCATGAAGAGATGGAGAATCAATCACTTCCCTTGGTAGTTAGGCACAATACTTTTAACCGTTGGGACCAATTTCTAATTTGAGTATCCGGCTTCAGCTTCCAGCTATTGGTTCTTGTTATGCCTTCCTCTGCTAGACTGAAGAGCCTTTTAATATCTGGTATTTCTCCCCTGAAGGTACTTAGACACTAATCAAGTCAACTGTCAATCATCTTTTCGGTAAACTAACCAGCTCCAGCTCTTTAAGTGTCTCACTGTAAGACATGCATCCGATGAAGTGGGTATTCACCCACGAAAGTTTATGCTCCAATACGTCTGTTAGTCTAGAAGGTGCCACAGGACTCTTTGCCGCTTTTACTGTAAGGCATGTTCTCTAGCCCTCAAATCATTTTTGTGACTTTTTCCTGCATCTTCTCCAACTTTACAACATCCATTTAAAACTATGGACCCCAAAATGAACAAAGTATTCGAATATCCATCTCACCAATGCCCTTTCGAAACAAAATCACCAACTCCTACTCTCTACTTCCGGTTTATACAGCCAAGAATTGCATTGGCCCCTTCTGCCACAGCATTGCACTGTGTCCACTCAGTTGTTCCCAGTTGTCCATGTACCACCTCACTGCAGTTAATGGGATTGCGGACACAAAACTGAGAGCAGAATTTGGCCCCTGGAGCGGAGAACAGAAGCTGGCAGCACGCAGAAGGGAAGGAGAGTGGGAGAGAATGCATGTGTGCGAGAGAGAGATAAGGTCGGGGAGGTAATATATTAGATTAACTTCTGTTGATGAGCCAGACACGCTTTGGAGGGAGGAAGGGAGGGGGTGTGTACGTGTGTGTGTTCAGCAGGTGCTAATAGCTGCAGGGAGGTTTGGAGGTAGCTTTGGTGGCAGATGAGTTTTCCTGGGGGGCACCATCGAAGGGGGGGTGGTTACATTTTTATCTTTAAAATGCAGGCAGTGGCCCTTCTAAAGGGGCAGCCTCGCTCTCTGCGTTTCTCCAGCTCTCCTCCTCGCCAGGCCGCAGAAGCCCCTCGGGGGCCCCATTAGGCGGAGACGTTATGCAATTACCCGTCCTCGCCTGCCCCCCACGCCGGCTCCCCGCGGCTGGCAGCCCGCCCTGCACATCCGGACAGCGCCGGCAGCCCACCCAGCCCGGCGAGGCGCGCACAGGCAGGCGGGGGGGCGGCCCGGGCCACGCGGGCTGGATCCCTTTGTATGCGCGGGCTGAGCCTGCGCTCACACCCCGGTGCCTGCTCCCTACAGCGCTGCCCTCAGCCCTGACCGCCCAGACCCGGCCCTTACCTAGCCTCCGCGCTAACCAGCCCGATCCGGCCTTTGTTCCCAGCCCTGGCGGAGACCCTCTCCTTACTTAGCCCCACTCCTAGGCGCGCCCCCCTTCCGGCCTCCCGGTACTTTTGCGCGCAGTCTTTTCCCGGGCGGGCAGGCGGCGAGGCGCTCGCAGGAGGTGAGCCGAGCTCCCACAATGCTGCTGTCTGCGAAAAGGGAGGAGGCAGGGGGCTCCCCGGTCGGCTCTTCGCAAGCCCGCCCATCCCCTTCTCTTTCATCCAGGAAGGAGGAGCCGCCGAGCCTACCACCCGGCAGGGCTGCCGCGGACCGGACAGGAGGCGAGGTGTGCAGAGAGCCGGAAACTAAGCCCGTGCGCCCCGCACGTAGCCGCCCCCCTCCCGCAGCAGCACCTGCATCGTCTCTTCCTGTGGGCACCGGCCGGGGACTGCGCCTCTCTCCCTCGGGCCCCTGCGCCGGTCTCAGCGCCCTTGGCACAAGCCTGGCCCATCTGCTGCTGCAGCCGCCCTTCCAGCCGGGCACAGGCAGGGTGAGTGTGATGCGCTGCCCTTGCTCTGCCCCGCGGGCGGGCTGCTGCCGCCGCTGCTCCTCACCTTGCCGCGCGCCCCGGGGACACGCGGGGCTGGCGCGAATGCGGAGAAGCCAGGGCCGTGCGGGCTCCACGCGGCTTTCTCCCGGCTGCTGTGCCCACGTGTGATCCGCCCGGGGGTGCTGGCCTGCTCGCCCTGCCGCAGGCATGTGGTGTCCTCCCGCTGCGGGGGCTGCTTTAATTCACTCCCGCAGCGCGGGGATCCATTTTACTACGCGGCATGGTGCATGATGCAATATTTATACTATGGCGAGAGGAAGCAGCGCCAGCTTCATTGAGTCGGTCAGTGCGCGCGCGGGGGGGGGGGTGTCCGCTCTTGTAGACGGACTTAACCCCCCCTCCCTGTCCCCAAAACGCTCTTACAACGAGCTTCCGGGGAGCAAGATCCCTGCTCACGCCCCACATGCGGAGACAGCCGGCCAGATCTACGGCTGCGTCCTGGGAACCTCGCCTTACATGGTGCTTCTGGTTGTAATGAGTCGCCGCTTATCGCCCTCTCCTCCTTGCCGAGGTAGTGCCACGCTGCTAGCTTCTCCCACCTCGCAGTGATGCTTGTAACTGGCTGTCCTGGCTTGCGGGGTGGGGCGCTGAATGAAAAGTCAGAGCTGGCGAGCTACCTGCTTGTGGGAGGGAAATGGCCTGGCATGCCTTTAGCAGAGGTAATGGCGATCCCACATTTATAGGCATCAGATCCCACGTTTATAGGCAACTAATCTCTCTTGATTAGAATAGAAAAAAGCGGCCGATGAATCCGCTCAAACCCACGTGCGAAGTCTAATAATGACTACAGTGGCCGCTATGGCCGGTGCTTTCCCCCCCCTTTTTGGGTAAGAGGTGAGGGGAAGCTGGACTTGTGAATTTGATCAGATTCCCTTGTGACTTTTTTCAATCAATCACATTTTGTCATTGTTCACCCCCCTGTGCGAGCTGAGTGGTGGAGTAAAAGCCATTAAGCCACGTACTGGAAAGGAGGTCCTGTGAGTACTTTCTAGTTGAATGCATGGAGAATCTGTCGCTTCTTTTTCTTGAAGTAGCTAGTTCTCTTTAGTTGCCTAACATCATTCAAGCATGATTGCAATGCCATGTTTCTTTTCTCTATCAATTGCAAGGGAAGTTTCGTGATGCTGGAATTCAGCTATTTGTTGCTTAATTTTTAAAGGAACACCATCAACTTAAAAATCACACTATGTCTGACATTTTTTACCTGCTGTTGTCACAAGTAACACCTGAGATTACTATAATTGAACAAAGGTTAGTGAAAATAATGTTTTTGTCTACTTAGGTAGATGCTGACACCATCACACACAAAAAAGAAGTGGATAACCTTTTGTTTGTTGGTTTGAGACCTGGGTAACTATTTTGCATACATATTCTACTCAGCTGTGTCTTTGATCAGTAATTTGAGAAAAACATCTTTTTGGCAACTCTGGAATCCTTAACGCTGCGCCGGCTGCTTTGTGCTGCTTCAGTGGGACAAAACAGACCTAAATCGGGCTGTTCTAGACCCTTGAGGATTTCCTTGCTTTGGGAAGTCATCAGGTGGCATATAGCCATGGTAGTGGCACCTAAGGCTTTGTCTACACTGGAAACAGAATGACAAAACATTTGTCATTCAGGGGTGTGAAAAAACCCCACCCTCCCCCGAATGACAAAAGTTTTGCCGACAAAAAGCGCTGGTGGGAACAGCGCTTTGCGACAAAGCTACCGCTGCTCGTTGGGGGTAGAAGTTTTTTGTCGGCGGGAAATCTCTTTCCTGCTGACAAACAGCAGCTGCACTGCACACCTTTTAGTGGCACGGCTGCAGCGCCACAACCGCGTCGCTAAAAGGTGTGTAGAGTACACAAAGCCTAAGTCCGTACCTTCCTTCCCCCAGCATAGAGGATATGACTGAGATAACGTCATGGACTATATATACACCCTGATGATTCTCACACACCAGAGTGGTCCTGTTGGAGGATCTGGGAGCTAGCCATCTTTGATTCCTCTCCTGGCTCCTTTGCCCACCCCCCTTCTTTTGCTCTGAGTACAGCTTGGATGGATCATAGCAGCTGGTCCTCTGTGTCCCAAGAAAAAGATATCAAAAGATCAATTGAAAACCTAAGTATATTAACCATCTGTCTGAAATGTATGCAGCAGTGAATCGGGCTTGCCCCGGGGGGGGGGGGGGCCCCTTTTTACCCGGCCGGACTTGTCAGTTGTAGGACTGGGTTTATTTTATGGAAGTGGGTCTTATCTTACTTCCAATTAGAAACGTTAATAGTATTATGCATCTTTAAAAATTATTCTAAGTATATGGGATTTGATGGCTTTAGTAACAGAATATGGAATCTTCCATCTCCGCATTGCTTATTAAAATCTAACCTACTATTTGGTGGCCTATGTAAAAGGGATTGAGACTGTGGTCCTTTATACTCCTTCAGTAGGGAGTTCCAAAGCCTTGTGTAGGAAGGAACCTACTCCCATGAGTTTTCCCCCTTGAGGGTTATAGTTTAGTAGTTCTTGAGGAATGTCCCTGTTGCAGGAAGGCATTCTTGTTGGGAGAAATGTGGTCTGTGGGATAGACTGAGCCTTGACGATGAAGCCTGAGACTTTGAAATTGATCGGTCTGTGGGTAGCCATTGTAGTGAGTGGATCCTCAGAGTGATGTGCTCTCAGTGGCTTTATGGCTGCGCTAGTTTTCTAGAAAATCTATTTAAAGTGGTGGTTGCTAGAGGTTTTCATAGCTCTCTCTGAGCCCTGGTATTGAAGGAACCTGGCTTGCTGGTGGAGTAATACAGAAAAGATTCCTAATAAGACTTCTAGAAACTCTCTAAAAACTCCTGAAATAGTTTTTTTTTTAAACATATGTATATATACAGACTGCACAATGCTGTGGTGTGGAAAGATCTTTACTGTTCTAGTAGAACCACTAACTGATGATAGTATCCTTTTCTTCGTGCCTTATCTTCCAAGAAAATAACAAAATACAGCAACAGCTTTCATTTTCATCCCATAGTCCAAACTTTTGGTGATAACAGTAATTAACATTTTTTCCCAATAATTCATCTTGTTTTAAACTATCCAGTGTTATTTTAAACCCCTCCTTTCCCCTCCTAAAGCCTGGGATGAAACTAAAATGTTACCACTGGCTGTCATTTAAAGGCTCTGATAGTATTAGCACTTATTGTATATGTCTGACATACAGTGCCTTCAGTATCTGATTCTGCATAACTGCTCTGTAGGGATAAGACGGGATGTCCAATGGGGTGATTCTAGGAGGAAGGTATGTTGAAATATATAACTCAACAATATATCCAGATATTGGCTGAAATCTGCTGTTTTAAAATATGATGACAAAGATGAAACAAAATTAAATGGTGTTTTCCTTGAAAAATGTGGGCGTTGATGACAATGCAAAAAAGAACACTATTTTGGTCTTAAAACATCATTTGACAAATTTTTCTCAAGGAAAATGTGTACTTGCTTCCTAAAACATCATTTGGTTGATGAGGATGTTATCTTGTTGTGGATATAAATATAGTAATCTCCGATAATATTGGGTACTAAGTGATTTCACTTATTTCTATCATGGAGTTCCACATCAGTAACGTGAGAGGCCCAGTGATAATATTGTCAAAGCATGTTCTCAAAACTAAGTACAGTTGAATGAGTGACTTTTAAGGGATAGGAAGCAGGCTTTTGTCCAGACCTGACTTCCACAGAAATAACCATTGATGTAGGCAGATGTGAATGTAGATTGCTATAGAAGCAAAAAGACTGAGTAAGGTTTTATTATAGCAAAGCAGACAATGTGCAGTCTGCCAGGATTGTAAAAGGAGTCATGGAAAATCAGTTAAACTTTTTCAGAGTCCATCTCTTGTATAACTGGACTTCCGTTTTAGAATGAGTCAAAATTAACTTCCATGGTGGAGACATGATAAGACTGTAAGAACTAGATTCCCACAGAGCGAATTAGAAAGCAAAATCAGAATGCAAACAGAATAAAGTTTAATGGTGTTGTACAATGACTCTCATAATAGAAATGTAGGGCAAGAAGGGACCTCAAGAGGTCATCTAATTCTAACCCATCTCTCAACACTGAGGAAGAATCCTAGAGCACTTTACAAACTGTGGTCCAAGTTAAGGCTCCGATAAAGGAAAAGAAGGTCACCTCAAAAGGATCAGTCTTTAGAGGTAGTATACCTGCATTATTAAGCATGCTATTGAAAGCCCCTATTATACCATTTGGAAGGGCTCCAACTCGGTGGGCTCTCTGCTTGCTGTCTACAGTGCATAGCATGGGTAGGGGCCCACTCTGCCCAGACATGCCCCCTACAGGTCATTCTGCCCTGCCAATAATGTTAGCTGCCCATACTCTGCATGTGGGGCATGCAAGTAACCAAATTATGGCTGCTTTCTACACTGGAGCAGTGAGAGAGGAAGGAGTTCTGTGCACCCTTTTGGTCCGTTCCAACACACTTACATTAGAGCAGCCATAGTTCGGTTTTATTAGAGTGGAATGGTAGCACCACTATAGTTAAGGTTGAGTTTGCCTTACTATTGAACAACTGATTTTTTAAGTGCTCTAAAATCCACATGCTTACTTGGATTGACTTGAAAATTATTGTGACAGATGGAAAGCTGAGATAAGGCAAGTGGTCCAAATGTGAGGTTGTTCAAGCCAGGGGTTCCTGAGAGTCAGCCCCCATAACAAATCATGTTACATCAAAATTGTATAGTTCTTGTAACTTTTTTTTGCACACACCTGGAGCTCAAACTGTGACTCTGAGCCTCCCCGAGCTGATAACACCCTCTTGGTAATTATCTTAGCTAATGTCTGACATCCACTGCCCCTTTCAGGAAGTGATATTTAAAAAGCTATTCAAAGCTTATGAAAACAGGAGAATGTCAGATGTACTAATGCAGATTAAAGAATGAGACAGAGGGAGTGCTAAATATGC